TCGAAAAAAAGTTATTTGCATTTTTAGTATAGTATTAAACAAATTTACCTCATTGCGTAGAGTATTAACCTCATTCTGTAACAATAAAACAATCTCGCGTAGAGTGACAACCTCATCACGTAAGGTAGATACCTCACTGCATAGCGCACCATTGTCATCGCGTAAAAAAATCCACCTCACCACGTAAAGATCGAACCTCATCACGCCATGCATCATTATCTTCACGTAAAGTACTGACCTCATGATGTAAAGCACCAACCTCATCACGTAATTCCCCTAACTCATCCCGTGGAGGTGGAGAACAGGGAGATGGAGATAGACGGAGCCTCTTTGCCGGTCGCCTATCATGAGGTGATGGTGGAGAAGAGGCTCGATAATGTGATGGAATAGGTGATGGTGGAGGTAGAGAAGAGGTTCGACCAGGTGATGGCTCCGGGTGTCGAGATATAGAATCGGCCCGATGGGGTGATGGCTCTCGAAGTGGGGGGTACTTATCATCCGTCCCATCAAAAAACCGCTTACTAGCTTGCCACCAATCAGTGGCAAGCTCAACATCTGAGGGTGTCAATCTCTGTAATGGGTAGTTGGCCTCCTAACAATATAAAAGCTCAAACAAAGTTAAACGTGTACTAGTAATAACTTGTTTATATATGGTAGTATTTGTGTGTTAACTTATATCATTAATCGTCGTATATAGGAGTAAGTCTTCCCAATCCAACATGTGTTTCCCTAGGAATATCATTTGATCTTTTTATCGCATATGTCCGCATGCTGGGGAAAGCCTCAAATATCCAAATCTACAAACAATATAATACACAAACATTAGTAATTGTTAAATAATTAATTATAATTTTAGAAACATTATATAGAAATTCTTACCTTAAAGGCCTAAGTAAAGCCTGTCAAAGTGTATTTAGAACCATCGCCCCGCAAAATTTTCGGTCCTCGAAGGCAGACGACAACTTCTTCCAGGTAGCTTTCCATATATATGAACCCCACGGAAACAGGTTCCATGTATTTAGGTCATCTATCAATAATATTAGGTCCTCGAAGATTGGTTGTCTGCCCTCTTTGCCTAAAAAGCCGGCATGCAAAAGTAGTAAATGGCATACTCGGACAACATCAAGGTCATCCATCCGAGTAAAACAATCTTTATCAAATAATCTCTTCAAGTCGTCGACATGTATACTCGGCTTCGACTTTGCCAGCTCAGGAAAAACCCGATATAACCATGATGGGCAGGCGATATGACTAGTGTACCGACCTACATCATCGTGTCCGAAGTGTAGACCGGTGATTAAGTAAAACTCCTCCCGCCCAAAACAAGTATACGCCGGTGTCGGAGGAAAATGAAACCATATCTCTTCATCACCATGTTGTACCCCCTTGGGTAGATCGTTAGTTATGGTCTGAAGAAACAAATGTGTCAACATAGCATCTCCACCCGGATGTTGTACTTTCAGCCATGGCCCGAAGCAAGTATCCTCAAACAATTTTCTTTGTAGAGGTGTAAGCGTCGACGTAATTTTAGTGGCTATGCTTAATTTATTCCTTAAGATCAATTGAGCCGAAAAAAATTTCTACAAAAACAATAAACATACCAAGTTAGATATACCAAAAACTACAAATTATACACTACAAACAGACATGATATTAAACAGTGAAAACAAAGCCAAATATGTTTCAAACTAGCACGGTATTCACCCAAGTCATTATTCCATCATAGTTCACAAAATGCATCAAATAACATTCAGAAGTAAGCACTTATATAAACATTTAAAAGGACAACATATAGGTTTAGTGCAGGTTCAATGACAACATAAAGAGTAGTAGTTTATTCTTGAAACTTAAATTAGCAACACTGTGAAGTTAGTATTTGTCTTTGTTTTTCGGTTGAAGTAATACAATTCATTCAAGTTTCAATTTGGCGAATAAAAGAAGTTTCTGAAACTTAAAATCGCAACGCGATTTTAGTTTTGCGTTGCGATTTTCATTTTCGCGATGCGAATTTGGTGTTGCGATTTAGGGTTTCTTCAACAAAAAGACAAAACAAAGACAAATACTAACTTCACAGGGTTAAAGACTAAATAGTTTAACAGTATTGGCAGCAACCGAATGAATTTAGCAATCTCAGTGAAATGATTAATCTAATAATAATACAAAAATTTCAAAATAAAAATAAAAGATTAAAAAAACTAACCCTCGGTGGTTGATTTTCCATTTCTGACCGTGAATGGTTGTGAGGGTTGATATGAGAGATGGAGATAGACGGATTTCGTCGGAGATGGGGACGGATGTCGCTATAGATAGTGAGAGATGGAGATGAGACTGAGTTGTGTTTTAGGGTTTTAGGTTAGAGATGATTTGCGATAATACTGTTTACATTAGTGTTGCGAAATTAATATTGTGTTTCGCGTAAAAACATTTGACTTTTGCGTTGCGAATTTGACTATCGCGTTGCGAATTTGGAAAATCGCAATGCGATTTACATATTCGCGTTGCGAAATTGGAAACTGGGTTGCGAAATTGGAATTCGCGTTGCGAATTTGAGATTGCATTGCGAATTTGTTGGTCATTTTGGAAAATCCAAAAAAAGTTGGTTAAATTCGTATATTATAAGGCATTTTTGGTCACTGAGGTTATTTTCTCTATATATAAAGTAGTTAATGTTTGAAGGAAATAAGAAATAAAATGCTTATGAAGGAAATTTAACTTAGGCCATAAAAAATTTGAAATTACCAAACCAATGAACAAAATCATACATTTATATAATAATTTGGTAGATTTTATATATAAACTTAGCACTGATTTATACACTATTAAAAGAAAATTAAATTTAAAATTTATACATTTTAAAATAAATTTAATATTTTCCGTTTCACATTTATAATTTAATGATTATATATATAATCTTAATTAAATATTTTTAATTTAATTAAAGATTTTATTTTTACTAAAAATAAAGTGTCTGAATTATTTATATTTTAGTTAATTTTTAATAGATTGTGTAGTTTAAAGTATGTAATTTAGAGTCATTAATTTTTATAACTTAAATTACACATTTTATTTTTTAATAAAAATAAAATGATTATTTAAATTAAAAAGACTCCATTTAAGATTATATATAATCATTGAATTATAAATGTAAAAAAGAAAATATTAAATTTATTTTAAAAATATATAAATTTTGATTTTTTAATAGTGTATAAATCAATGTTAAGTTTATATATAAATCTACCAAACTATTATATAAATGTATGGTTCGGTTCAGTAGTTTGGTGCTTTCTAGTTTTTCATGGTATAGCTTCAAATCCTTTCCTAGGCATTTTTATTCCTTTTTTTTCTTCTAGCATTAACTACTTTATGAAATATATATATATTATGTTGTAAAATAAACTAAATTGTGGGGGTTGGTTTAGTGGCAAGGCCTGCATGCTTGGTTCCGTTGGTCTTTAGTTCAAATTCCTTTTAGCACTTTTATTGTGTCTTTCTTTGCGATTTAATTTTCCTTTAACCGACGCATCTGGTTGGAAGATAAATAAGTAAATAAATTTAAATTAAAAAATATCATCTAAACTAATAGTGACGTGTGTCACTTCCATATTAGATGATTAATTTAATAAAAAAACTAAAATTAAGACTAAATTGATTGAATGTAAAGTATTGAGGATCAAATATGTAATTGTATCAATTTTGTTAACTGATTGAATGTACAAGTATTGAAGATCAAATGTAATTATATCAATTTTATTAACTGCCATGTAAACACTTTCGTATGTTGAATGACTATATTAAACCCATTTAAATAGTTCAATTTCATGTTGACACAATTTTGATAATGACGCTAAAAATTATGTTTCTTAAATATTACTCTAGTAGAGCACGAGAACAATTCAGAAACCAAAGTCCTAAGTACAGAGGCAACGGCAGCTCCTTCCTCTTAGCCTCATATGGTGATTGCTTTTTTTTTTTGGTAATCATCTCTTCTTAAAACCATATTTCTTACGTTCATAGAACAAGTCGGTTCTGGCACTGCCAAGGTTGACGATTTTGGGGCAGCCATCTCGATCCTTCTCTAGTTGAGTACACTCTTTGCAGTAGTATGCGTCAGATATTCCTGGTCCTCCACAGCTCACACATCTGCCCTGGAACGATCCATAGTTACATTCGTCACATACCCGCACAAGCGTGCAAGGTCGCACCAAAGAGTCGCAGATTACGCACTTACCGTCACATTTCTCGCAAAGCCGTCCGATGGCAATCCCGGGTTGTTTCTGGCACATGATCAAATCAGGATGGTGCTTGGCCATTGAAGTAATCAACACCACCTTCCCCTGTATGTAAGTAAATACAAATTAATTATAAGTGCCAACAACAATTCTATAAAAAAAAGCCGAGAAAAGGGAAAAGGAAGAGCGAACCTGAACCTGAAAGAATGAGAAAATATATCTGTGCTCGTTTTCCTCTCTCCTTTCTTATAAGCTCTGCTCCCTTGGTTGCTTGCTTTCCACGTTACTTGGTATTCTTTTTAAAACTTAAAACTAGTCTTGCCAAAAAAAAATCAAAATGAAAAAAGAAATTTCAAAGAAAGAAAGTCAAAAAATAACACTATATATACAATTTTTATTTCTTGCCCGCCAAGTTTTGACTTTTGAGCAGATATTTGATTTTTTTTTATATAAAATTAGTTGTTGCAAATAATAATTGTTAGATACTAATACAAAAACACAAAAGGATAGTTTAACATTAGATAATTTTTTTAAATGATTTTAAACTAAAAGATTTCGGGAATTAACATGAAGAAACGGAACGAAGTAATATCTTAACAAGCCCATCATTTTATTATTAATCATGCAAAAGAAACATAAAAGGAAACGTAAGAGTATCGTAAACACCAGGGATCATTAAAGACAATTCATGACATGTAAACTAAGAGTAGCATCGTACGTAGATGGGAAAGGGAAAGAGATGGGCCTTCGTTAATTTAAGTCCTACAGCTTTCATGGGCAATTGTTGGTGTTGGAGTTCCTGCCGCAATACCTCATGAACATATTCTTCACAGTGTTGTGGCTGACGGGAATTCTGTCACTATTGGCTCTCAGGATTCGGCACATGCAATCGGCTGCATCGGCATCACTCAGACCGTGAAACCGTTTGCAGCATTCGCTGCCAGGGTTTGGTCTCGCCCCAAAGAAGGCCGATGTCAGGGCTGATTGGCAAACGCCCAGATCTTGAGGGCATGTTGGAGAAGTTTGAGAGCTAACCAAACTGAAAAAAGCAAGGTTGAGGGAAACAAGGAAGAGAGTTGATGCTGAAACCTTGGAACCCATTTCTCCGAGACACCCGATTAAGCTTTCTTGGATTGATTGTTTTGTATAAGGTGTGGTGTGAGAGAGCTGGGGTTACATGGACAGTGGGTTTTATAGGAGGGTGGTGGTGATCTCGAGGAACATAGTAATTAGGGTAAATTATGTAATTGCTCCAAAAAAATCCATTTAATTTAAATATCGTTGTTAAAAAAACTTTTATAACGAGGAACGAAATACTGTGGACTAAAATTTAGTTGAAACGTGTCAATTTTTTTATTAGTCTATAATGATTAAAAAATAATATTTACTTCTAATTATTTAGTAATGAACGTTCAAATATGTCTATAGATGTCATGCTCAAACTCATGATCTCTAAGAATAACAATCTTACTTAATCATTGAAGTCATTTGGTTTGTATGTCTAAATGACATTTATTTTAACAATAATTATTAAATTAAACATTTTTATCACCACAATTATTTATCCGAATAATTATTATTTTACAATAGGTTATTAATAATAAAATTTAATTTGATATATATTTTTGTAATTTTTTTTTACTTTTGATCTACTTCTAATTATGAAAATTTTATAATTTGTTATTCCTAAATTATTAGTATAACTTTTTAAAAATTCACATTCTTAACCTAAAATTCAACATTATCTAACTCCATAAACTAAATTAAAACTCTCACATGCAAATTGATTTTTTTATTATTTTTAAACATAAATAATTATTAAATGCTATTTCAATTAGAAGTTATAGTCAAACTTTATACATGTTTAATCTTTAACGATAGTATGGTATTTCATGTTGCATTAGTCGTAACGCGCCTTTTGATTAAGAAAAATTGATTGTCTCGTATAGTTAGATCCATTTTTATAGTAATTTATTTGTGCATTAAAACTATTCACGGAGCTATATGCTATATTGGTTCTTTCATCTCCATGACTAAAATAATATTACTTCTAGTTTTGAATAGATACAAAGATATTATTAATAGTTGCCAGATTTTTTGAAAGATAAAACATGAATTAAAAAAATATTTTGATTTTATTTTTATTCTATTTCTTTGAGTTTTATATTAAAAATATATTATATTTATTGCATTTTATCTTTTGTTTAATGAAGGCTTAATTTATTGTTTTTTTAAAATATAGATGTATATTATTTATTATAGATGTAAACGTTGATATAGTTATATATAGCCATAGATCTGTATAAACCATAAATGGTTATTTAGTTGTTGATGCCTAACATTTTCCATCCATTGAAGTAAGTAATACATATTTTTTGCTCAAGAACAGTAATAATTAATAATTAGGTAAATAATAAAAATATGTATATCAGCACAATAAGGTGTTGTCATTTATCAAGTTCTAATACTGTTATGTTAGGTGGTAATTTTTATTATTGTATATAATTTCTTAATATTATTACATTTATTTTATAGTCTCCCCTTAATATTTTAATTTAAAGCTTATTTAAAAATAAATATTTTAATTATATTTTTTATGTGTCTAAAATTTGTTTTGGTCAAAGTAAGTGTTAATTATTCATTCTATACACTTTATTCAGTTTGTTATTACAAGCGAAATTAAAGAATTTTGAGGTTGAATTTTGAGAGTTGAGGCATTGATTTCACTTTTACATAGATGAATTTTCATAAAATATTTTAAATTTGGGATTTTTGATTTTGCAAAAGAAAAATAAAGAGGCATATATTGAAATCAAAATCAAAGTGTTTGAGGCCTAAAAACAAACTGATTCTCCAAAATAAATTCCTTTTATTTTTCTATTTGTTTCTTTAGAAAGAAAGAGATATATACTATGACCAAAAAATATAAACACCTAAAATGGAAAAAATATAATCTCAACACTTCCTTCTCAATTAAACCTTAATTTAATGTTATAAAGTGAATTTGATAAAGTTGGGTTTTGAGTACTGAATTTGCCTAATTTATTTTTCTTTTAGACTTTTCTATAAGCGTACTATTTGCCGGACAACACCGACTACCCACATGAATGCTTAGTCCATAGGTCTGTAAATAAATCTAACGAACACTAGGTTCATATTCGTTCGTTTAACTTTAATCGAATAAATGAACGAACACGAACATAAATGAATAATTTTTTTTTCGTATTCGATTGTTAAGGAATGTAGCTTGTTCGTGTTTGTTTATGTTCGTTCATTTAAATGATAAATGAACACAAATGAACGAACATAAACGAACGGATGTAAATGAACATTAACAAACGTAAACGAACACAAATGAACGAACGTAAACGAACACAATAAATGAACATAAATGAACGTAAACGAACATAAATGAAAATATTTTTTTTATTTCCTAACAATTTTATGATTATATGTTATTTAATTGTTTTGAGATTTTTTATTTGTATTTAAAATTAGTTAAATTTTAAAATATTTATGGGTATCAAATTAACATTTATTGGGCTTTAATATTTTAAATGAGTCTATAGAGATGGGTTAAACATAAATGAAAGCACATAAACGAACGAACATAAATGAATGAACATATTATCGAATGTTCACAAACGTAAATGAATGAAAGAGCCCTATGTTTATGTTCGTTCATTTAATTAAACGAACACAAAATATTGTTCATGTTGGTTGATTTAATAAATAAACGAACATAAACAAACTTCCTGCCAAATGATTCAATGAACATTTGGTTCGTTTACAAGCCTATGAATGCTCGTAAATTAGAACATATAATGATTTGAATCTACAAAAGAATCCATGTTCTGTTTAGCAATTCTGTTGGGAAATTAAACGAGTAATTTCCCTATAATCAGATTAGTGAGAATGCGAAATAAAAGCGGAATGATAACACCCAAAATTGATAACAGAGTTCAGCTAATTATGCCTACGTCTTAGACTACTGCATATCTTTTACTAAAGGGAGAAAATTTACAGGTGTTTACAAAAACACTCACAACTCACAACCCAATTATACACTGAAAATTGTTCTCAAGAAAAACTCTCTAATTTCTCTAGTATTGGGAGAGAGCTAAAATGATTTGGGATGATTTTGAAGCTAAATGGGTTAGGGTATTTATAGTTGAAACTTAAGGATTAATCTTGTAAATACCCTAAAGTATAGGGACTAAATGAGAATTTTTCCCATGCCACTTTTTTCAATATTATTATTGCCAACTTTCGGTGTAATTGATGCTAACTAATTATCAATGCAACTTTCGGTGCATTATTTAAAACCAACTTTCAACAATCTCCCACTTGAAGACTGATTTTAATCTGTCTTCACACCTTGATCAATGCAACAGCATTTCTGGTCTTGTTACTCTAGCATGCCAACTGAAGCTGAACACAACTTCAGTTTGTCTATAGTCACCGTCTTTGTTAACATGTCTGCCGGATTTTGAGCTCCACTAATCTTTTCAAGTTTCAAAATCCCATCTTCCAGAAGAGACCGGATAAAATGATATTGCAATTGTATGTGCTTCGTCTTAGAATGAAAATACTGATTATTCACTAGTTGGATAACACTTTGACTGTCGCAATACAAGACATTATTTTCTTGTTTCTTACCTAACTCTTCCAAGAAACTTTGGAGCCAAACCATCTCCTTGCTGGCTTCCGTAATAGCGACATATTTTGCTTCCGTAATAGCGACATATTTTGCTTCAGTTGTGGAGAGAGCAACTATCTTCTGTAGTTGAGAAACCCAACTCACTGTGGTACCTCCTAAAGTATAGACATACCCTGTAGTGCTTCTTTCGATATCAACATTTCCGACTAAGTCAACATCTACATAGTCTCTCAGTATCATATCTTCACATTTGAAACAAAGTACTTTATTTGTGGTACCCCATAGATATCTGAGGATCCATTTGACTGCTTCCCAGTGTACCTTGCCCGTATTATTCATGTACCTGCTAACAGCTCCCACAGCTTGAGCAATATCTGATCTAGTACAAACCATGGCATACATCATACTTCCAATTGTTGAGGCATATGACACCTTCACTATGTGTGCACGTTCTTCTTCCGTCTTTGGTGACTGTTCTTTGGAGAGCCTAAAATGAACACCTAAAGGTGTACTTACTGGTTTAACATATTGCATGTTGAACCTGGAGAGTACTTTGTTGATGTACTCAGCCTGTGATAACATCAAAGTCCCTGGCTTTGCGTCTCTCTTAATCCCCATCCCAAGAATCTTCTTTGCAGCGCCCAGATCTTTCATTACAAACTGCTTCGATAATTTTTGGTTCAAGTTTATAATCTCTTACATGTCTGAGCCTGCAACGAGCATGTCATCAACATACAACAATAAAATAATGAAGCTGTTGTCAAACTTCTTGATGTAGCAACAATGATTTGCTTGACATCTGGTAAAACCATTGCTACCCATGAAGCTATCGAACTTCTTATACCACTGTCTAGGAGTTTGTTTTAAACCATACAAGCTCTTCTTCAACCTGCATACCAGGTTTTTCTTATATGCCTCTATGAAGCCTTCTAGTTGCCTCATATAGATTTCTTCCTCCAAATCACCATGAAGGAAAGCTGTATTTACATTTAACTGCTCAAGATGTAGATTCTTTGCAGCTACAATTTTCAAGACCAGTCTGATTGTAGACAGCTTCACGACTAGAGAGAAAATTTCATTGTAGTCAATACATTCTTTTTGCTGAAAACCTTTGACAACCAATCTTTCTTTGTAGCGTTTGCTCCAATCGTGCTCTTCTTTGATCCTGTAAACCCACTTGTTATGGAGCACTTTCTTGCCTGGTGGTAATTCAGTTAATTCCCACGTCTGATTTGACATAAGTGAGTCTATCTCATCTTTCATGGAAGACTCCCACTTGACTGAATCATCCACCTGCATTGCTTCATCATAGCACTTGGTTCACCATTGTCAGTCAGCAACAAGTAGTGCAAAGAAGGCGAATAACGCTGGGTTGGTTTAGGAATTCTGTAGGAGCGTATCAGTTTTGGTGTGCCTGGTTCTTCTTGAACTGCTTCAGGAC